ACATACTTCATTGTAAATATTTGAAATTCGGTTTTATTTTAAGAAAAATATTCAATTATAATGTATAATAATATTATAGCAATAAATAAAATGGAAATAGCCGATTTTTTTTTTAAACTATAGGGGCACATTGTTATTTTATTTTATATTTTAGATGAAATTCCTGTTTGCAATTATATTACTAATAATAAAAAATAAAAAATCATTTGAAACAAATCTTGCTATAACTATTTCTTCTGGCGCCTTCTTCGATGAAATACCGGATACAATTTTATACAACAACAGTATTCCTTTAATTTATACCCCAAAGATAAGTAAAACGAATGAAAATGAACAAAATGATTATTTAATCGAAAAACACTGTGAAAGTAAAGATTCTAACTACTATAATATTATGGACGAGCCTCTAAAAATATTAAAACTAGTAGGCAAAAACATTAAGGAAAACAGTTTAGACATTTTTCANATTAAAACTAGTAGGCAAAAACATTAAGGAAAACAGTTTAGACATTTTTCAAAAATTTATTAATATTAAGTTTTTGGAAATTTTTTTCATTTTTGCTGTAATGTGGCTACTGACAAACAACTTAAACAATTTTATACTAATGAAGTAGCACTAAAAGAACAAATTAATAAATTTAAAGACGCCTTTACCTCCGCCCATTCTGATTTAATAAACATAATCTCAGAAATTAATTCCTACGCAAAGAGTACTAATAAATATGGACAAGAATTACAAATTTTATATTATAGATATTGAATTTGGAATGTTTAGAAGATATGACATTGTCTTAGTAAGTGGGGCCATATCTGGTATTTTAGATACAGATCAAATAATAAAATTAGAAGGGACACCATTAATGCTGGTTAAAATGTACACACAACTATTAACGAAAAGTCTCTGGTCACCTTTTGTTAATGGGGTAATGAAAATATTTAAAGAAAAAGAGGAAAGGACCTACCCTCTCTTAGCAGAACTACATGACTAGGTTTACTATAATTATACACTCAAACACTTAACAGAAATTGGCACAGCCCGCTAATGTGAGATATTTATAACAAAACAAAAACAAGAAATCGAAAAAAGCTTATAGAAATCAACAAAACCCAAGAGGAATTGGCCCACTCACAAACAAAGAAATCAGAAAAAAAAATTAGAAAAACAAGGGGAAAGACTATTGTGCGAACTAGAAATTAACCGTAAAGAACAAGAAGCCATTCAACAAAGTATAGAAGCAATAACAGTAATCAACAACAAAAAAGATATGTAAAAAAAAAAAAAAATGTATAATAATTATGTATTTTAGAATACGGGAGAAATTAGATTAAGAAAATTAGAGGGCTATATACATCATAAGTAGAGTTTAAAATACTGGGATATAAACTTTATTAACTAATACTCATTCCCTTATAAAGGAAAAATCCTTATAAAATAGTATGCTATTAAGTACTATAATAAAAAAAAAAAAAACTTTATTACCTTGTTTGTCTAGACACAGATATTTGAATAAAAAAAAAAATATATATATATATACCAATAAATTATTGAAATGATGTGATCACTTTTAAAAGTAAAGTGACACAAAATTTATTAACATTTCTTTGCCTTCCATTAATTTAGTTAGAAATACAGTTACAAGATTTTTAATAACACCTTTATTATAAGGTTTAATTTTAAATAATTTAACTGTAAGTTCATATTTTTTTTAACGAGTTTTACATTTTTTGACTCTAAGCTTTTTATTGTATTTTGATAAATGTTTTATTTTTCTACCAATTAAGGTTCATAAGTTTGGCTAATTTTTATGACGGTTTGTCAAATCATTTAATTTAATGATCTAAAGTTAATGTAAATCAATCAGTGCAAGAAGATACAAATAACAATTTTCAGTATACCTCATTATTTTTATATAATTTATAATAATATTAATTTATTATAGTAACTTTAAAAAAATTTATTAGATGCTTACATTTATTTGATTTTTAGGCTGCTTAGTTGACAAATTTTGATCACATTTGAAAAATCTGTTTAAATGTTTTTGTATCCACATAAAAACATCATTAAATGAGGCAACTATCCAATTAGGAGAATTATTTTTCTCTATGGTGATATTATTGCGTAATTCACTAAAAAATATTAATTTTAAATAATTGAGATAATCAATTTATATGAATTGATAGTAAATAAATGCAATATTTCTATTCTATGAATTTATTTAATAAAATTAATAACTTTCGCTTTTAAACATAAGCAGAGAATTATTTTGAATAAATTTTCTGAATTATTTTTTATTTATTGCCAAGTATTAGAAAAAATAAAATTTACTTTTCTTGAGTAATATCTTCAAGATCTTTAATATTTGTGTTCATACTATCTTGAAATGGTTGTTTTTGATATATTTCATGTATTGAGTCAACTTCCATGATAAATATTTAATGAGAAATCGTAGCTTTTATTTTTTAATTTTTTCAATGATATTTATTAAAGTTTACTAATTGTTAATCACTATGGCAACATAATAAGAATAATTATTTATTTTCAAAATACTTCTTTAGAAATAAAAGACTAAATAAGATGATAGAACTGATTTCTCGATGTTTATTAAATGTAAATCCAAGATTTCTGATTATACTTAATAGTAAAGGCATTAATATAAAATAATTTACTACACATTAAAAAAAATATATCTGAATGTAAGCTAAAAACACAACTATTGTAAATAAAATATTTAAATTAACATAAAATAGTAATAAATATGAATAAATGTTTTAGAATATCAAAATTTTAATTTTATATTTTGACCCAAAATAGATTTGCGGGGGGAGATCAAGACGATGGGACCAGGGAAGATTTGAGAGGTATGGGGTGATTGATCGGTGCCATTGAGCAAAGTTTGAGGCAATCTTTAGTCCATTTTTCCCGCTTAAGAGTTGGTCACAATCTTCTACCCTATTTCACCTTCAAATTTAACCTTAATTCTGTTTCCTACTGTCACCTTCACTAAGAGAAATTTATTGGTGATTTCTCTCATTTTTTATTATTTTGCCTTTCTCTCAATTCCAATAGGTCCTTGTTATTCAACTTCCTAGCCACTCATGGTATAACTAATCCCCATCCTTTTCTAAACCTTAATTGCCCTAATGTGTCCATTAGTAACTCAATTGAATCTTTTCTTTTGTATGCTGGCTGCTTCATTTAATTTACTCATAATGATTGGCTATAGTACTATTATTATATTTTCAACTTATAATATAAATATCTCTAGTAAATAATTTTTACTTCACTTTTGTTTTCTCTCCTGTTACTTCTTTTGGTGTAAATGTATGCATTTGTAATATTTACTGTTGTTTCACATATTAATTGTTGAGCCATAACATTTTTAAATAAAGGCTTATGATAAAAAAAAAAAAACCAAATTAGTAAGTAAGTTAAGTTATAACAATTGACTACTTTTAAATCAACCAGTTATTTTTAGAATGCGCATTATAATATCATAATTCAAATTCTTTATCACTGTAACCNAACTAATCCCCATCCTTTTCTAAACCTTAATTGCCCTAATGTGTCCATTAGTAACTCAATTGAATCTTTTCTTTTGTATGCTGGCTGCTTCATTTAACTTACTCATAATGATTGGCTACAGTACTATTATTATATTTTCAACTTATAATATGAATATCTCTAGTAAATAATTTTTATTTCACTTTTGTTTTCTCTCCTGTTACTTCTTTTGGTGTAAATGTATGCATTTGTAATATTTACTGTTGTTTCACATATTAATTGTTGAGCCATAACATTTTTAAATAAAGGCTTATGATAAAAAAAAAAAAACCAAATTAGTAAGTAAGTTAAGTTATAACAATTGACTACTTTTAAATCAACCAGTTATTTTTAGAATGCGCATTATAATATCATAATTCAAATTCTTTATCACTGTAACCAAAACAATAGTTTAATTGACTGTCATGGTATAAACTATTATAGTCATGGAACTAAAATAATTTTTATTATATTTTGAATTTTTTCTGTAAATTTACTTTATATTATGGAGCACAACTTTTACCAAAAATTGTGTGGATTTAACCACCTTGTTATATGATGTTTAATTGTAGGTATATATTTATTTATTTTTATATCACACTAAAAAAAATTATGTACAAAATAAAAATAATAATTAAGTAATTGTATTAATATGAAATTACTAATTATTTAATCACTTTCACTTCACAAAATTACAATAACTATCGTTCATCAACAAAAAGAACAATACGTTGCCTTTATCATCCGGGTTATTTTCAAGGCTTTCCACNCGTTGCCTGTATCATCCCGGTTATTTTCAAGGCTTTCCACTAGTTGTTGGTTCATATTACAGTTAAAACAAATTAAATAGTTTGTATATTAATTTTTATTAGTTAAATTATTTTTTTATTATTATTTTACAACAGAGGCAACACTTCTGAGGTGCTAAATAGTTTATTTTATTTACAGCTACAGATAGCGAATGAACTTTATTATCGTAATCTAAATCACAGTTACAAGTAGATTTTAATTTAATTTCAAAAATTGAAATTATCATTTTATTGTTTATCCCTAATACGATCACATTTGCATGTGCCCATATGTCTGTCTCCCATAATATCATTGTACCGTTTAATAGACATATATATATATAATTAACACAGTGATATACAACAATACTAACAGGAGGCCGGACTGCACATATAAACACTTTTGCAATTCACGGCCAATGTGCCACAATAAGATATCCCTATCGACAGTTGACCTTTTACCATCATTGCGATCACTACTTTGTCTGATAATTAACTTAACTTTCTACCACGTATATATTGTGTGTGTGTGTGTGACCGTCAGCTCCCTGTTGGATTATATCATCTCTAGGTGTCCAGCAGGTTGTATTATCTATTTAATATTTCGATCACTTAATAAATATTTATTTATATCCTTGTTAACTAAAATTGTTATATATATATATATTTTAGTGCGACCCTTGGTAGTTCCTCTAAAGGAATATAAATTAAATAGGGAACTTCAGTACCTAAAGCAGATATACCAGAGCCAGCTATCCCCCGTTGGTTCCTTAGAATACTGTCGATGGGCATTTAGGCTCACCCTCTAAGTAGCGACGTAACAATCGTTATATCACTTGATACGGGAAAAACAGGTGGCGAATAAAATAGACAACACTGGGTTAGTTTTCCAAGTGGCGTCGAGCCGTTTAATAAAAAAATAATGGTAACACAAAAGAATAAAAGAAAACCAAAAGTAACAATAATACTAAAATGGATCTGTCGACAGAATGTCAAAAATGATCGAAACTGCGGTGGCGGTTCGGTTGGGTTGACGGACTTTGAAAAAAAACGATTTAGGTGCCATGAAGTTGACTGCTTGGCCGTATTATTGTGGTGGATATTCGACACTAGGCATTTATTGGACTTTACACCACGATGATAACGCGTGTGTGTAACGGTCCGGTTTACAGTGGAGCGGTTGCTGCGAAGGAGCTGACATGACTTCGGGGTGTCAAACGTGTGACAACGCCGTGGCCGTGTCACACTTAAGGTATAACAAAATTATATATAAATTTAAATTTCCTAACTTTACTAACTACTCAATAAAATTATTATTTTAAAATACACTGGAAAGCCATTTTGACAATAGCTGTTTATAGCTGCGTTGTTTAACAATACCTAGTTACTCACGTTTTGCTTGTATAAAATGCCACATGACTACAGTCAAGGGTTATACTCATGATAGAAGTTAATATTATTTTAAATCGTGCTTTATACTTTATTATATTAAGGTCTACGATGTTCTTTATTAATTAATGTACAGTAGCTGTGTGTAAACTTCAATTACAAGGTGTCCCATAATAACCTTTCACATTTTGTTTATAAATAACTTTTGTTCAAAACAATATAGGGGAACGGCAAATCCGGTTTCAGATAGCTAGACGATGCCTAATTATGTTTCATTGCGATTTTATTATAATGGAGCAGTGGACGGGTGCTCATCGTGCGTTCATTGTAAAAGCTTATTATAAGAATAATGACTCTTACGTGAGTGCAATTCGAGAGTTTCGTAAACATTTTATGGGCCGAAAACAACTTTAGTTGAAAACAATCGTTCGACTACTATTAATACAAAAAAAAGAAACCGGTACGCACCGGACAAACGCGCTTATCATATACCATAATAACATACAAAAGAAAACAAAAAAATGGATCGAACAGCCTTAACCGAAACAAACAGCGCTTCTGATAAACAGTCGTTTACGGTGGAGGGGGAGGAGGTGATACAAGAGTGGCAAAATGACGACCCGTTTCTTTCATCCATCATGAAACAATTACTCAAGGATAATGCCAGTAAAAACGATAATGAGACCAGCAAGAAGAACAGCGAATATTTCATGTTAGAAGGACATATAGGCATTTCTTTGGACGTAGACACACCGGCCGTAATACCGGTAGTCAAATCACAGCGTGTAATTTGGCGATACCATGACGATGCACCGTCGTGTCGTCCAGGATGGAAAGAAACCTACCGAGCAGCGTTTCTATTGGAAGGGCTTGAAAAACATAGTACGCGAGTGCGTAAAATCGTGAAGTATTTAAGCATACTCTAGTTCTAAATACCAAAAAACACTTTTATCGCTACTCTCAAAATAATTTGCTCAACCTTATATTAATCTATTGATTAAAATAACATATCCTAATGAAATATATTGTATTGATTATCATAATACGACTAATAATACAATCTAATAGTATTAGACGAAAAAACATATTTTTGAGAAACAATTTTAACAATCGTTATTTAAACAACTCCAACTTAATATGTATCAATTTTTGATATGTAACTTTAAAACAAGTGACATAAAAATAAAGTATAGTGAAGTTAAACAATAAAATCTATTATTATTTATTAAAAAAAAAATTCATTTTGGCAATATCTACATCTGTTCTAGTGCACACAAAAAAATGCGAAAAAAAAATGTATATTATATATTTATTCTAAATTATGAGTGTATTAGGTATACACAATATACATATTTTTTAAAGAAAACATTGTATGATTGGAGTACTCAGTTAACTTTAATTTTTAAATTAAAAAATATTTTGAATATTTTATACAGTTTTAATAGAAAAATACTTACATTGTTGTTATTTATTGGTGTAGAACATAAAAATATTTCATGTAAATATGAATACACTATTTGGAGTGTATAACTTTTATAAGGAGTTCAACAAATTAATTTCTTTTAAAATGTTTCCGTTTTTATAAAATATTGATTATTCTTTATTAGGAGCGCAATGGATTATTCTTTCGACATCTTAATACTGATGTTCAGCTGCGCTGTTTGCTATTACGTCTCAGATGGGTGAACATACGAGAACTTTAATAGTGAAACACACGTTGCTCCCTTACTAGTTCCCTTAGCCATAATGAGGTTGCATCAGTTGACAGCCGGTGTATTAATTCTGTCAAATCATTGTAAGGAAGAGCCGAACCCAAATGGTTGGGATAGAGACTAAAGAGTTCCTTATCAATCATTAACATCATCATCATGATGTTGTATATTATTTGTTAAAACTAACATTTTTTATGTAAATTGCCTAACATTATTGTGCGTATTGTATAGAAACTAATTTCAATACGATTAGTCTAACTTTTGTACTTAAATAGCCGTTTGACCGATTATTATGAGTCACAAATACTAATTTTGATATTTAATATAACGTATGCTATTTTTTAAAATATTCTAATGATATTTGTTACTCTAACGTTAAACTAAGTACTCATTTTAAATTTAAAATTTTTATCTATACTAAAAGTCTAACCATACAATTTTGTTTTTTAACCACCATTATAATGGCCCCAGTAAGTAATTCATCATTAGTTCACACAAAAATCAAAGCCAAATATTTATGTTTATTTAATCGTTTAACCTACTCTATAACATAATTATTACCCCCTCATAACTGTTTTCTCTATCTTTAAAATTATTCACGTTAAAATCCAGATCTCTTAAATAAAACTTCTTTTCCAGTTGTCATAATAATTTCTATCATTACTATTGTAATACTGTCATGTCGCCCCCTTGTCACTATAGTCATTAAAATTTGCATTTCTATAAAATGGATAAGTATGGGTATCTCGGGTTTGAATAGTATTAAATAAATTATGTTAAATATTTTTTTTAAGTTCTATAATTTCTCTTAATGGTTTATTATGCAATAGATTGTTTGAGATTCGAAAACGTAGATTAAATTGTACTCATCTTATGTCCTATGTCATGAAATAATACTTTAAATAATCCAAAATTTCTTCTGTTATTAAATGCTCTACGTATACGTTTCACACTACGCGCCATATAGTCAATATAATTATCTACGAAAACGACTCACATTTAAAAACAAACGATTTAATTACACAAATTCTATGACTGATATTACTTGTAAAATATTCTAAACACTCTAAATTTTTATTATAAATATAATTTTGCAATTTGTCCTTATTTTATTTTTTTATCTTTGTTGAATAAGTATTTTTTTAAAGAGTATATTTTATTGAGAGATCGACACCAGATATTTTTTGAAACTTCCTCTGCCCTAGTCAAAACAAGATTCAAAAAAATTTTGGTGCGATGTTCGTTAGAACAAAGGCATTAATCTCTAAAACTAGTTACCCAATTAGAGAAGTTGACAATGGATTGTACCAATAAATACATATTTAAAATTAATTTTGATTTATTATTAAAGTAAAATATTTAAAAAAAAGTTTAATGTTTTAAATATTAATTGACGTTTATTTCCACAACAAGAAAAATAAATAAATAAAACATTATTATATAATGAACAAATAAATTAAAATTAAAAGATTCATAAAAACAAAATTCACTTTAAAATTTCTAAGTATCATTTGTTTTGAAAAATATTCCAAGTTCGAAAAAATTAGAAAAAACTACTAAGTCCCAAAAATTAAGAATCTTGAGAAGAGTGTCGCAGATTTAGTGTATTTTAAAATTACCGAAAGAACTGGTCTTGACGCAATTTGGCGATACCATGACGATGCACCGTCGTGTCGTCCAGGATGGAAAGAAACCTACCGAGCAGCGTTTCTATTGGAAGGGCTTGAAAAACATAGTACGCGAGTGCGNAGTGTGCTATTCCCATAGACAAGCCAGTTCTCCGGCTAGCAGCCTGGATATAGATCATTACTAAGTATATGAAATACGTAAGAACGGTAGAAAACTGTATCTTGGTAGTATCCCTACGTGTGTAACCACCATTCATAATATTAAGTCATACCTTTTCGGTAACGTATAAGTAATTGAGGTATAAGATATCAAAAGGTGTATTGATATAATATTTATTATGTATTTACAAGGCTAACTGTGTCTGGATTAGTCAAGTCTTTATGAAGAGAAACACTGGACCAATACTCACTTGTCTATTTTGACAAGTTTAGAGTGAGTTTTAAGAATATCGATAAGGGGCGGAACAGAACAGCACGCATAATTAGAAATACACTATGGGCGCCGGCGTTGTCAAGGCCCCACCCCTGAAGAGCACGATGTCCACCGATTGTCATATTCTTAGGTAGACAGCAGATATCGAGTGAGTGGCAGCCTAGAGCGGTTCCGTGTCTTAATTCAATAACTGTTTATTGTTTCAAAAAAATAATTATAATTTCTATGCACATGTTGAATTCATAATAACCAATGTACTGGTTTTTAATAGTGCGTCGTCTGATTCTAATATATTTTTAATTATTGATTTATATTAAATTTAATATTAAAAAATTTTCTATTCGCTTTTCTCTGTTTCATATAAAGTATTAGGGCTAAATTGGTCTATAATTTAAAATATTAAATTCAAATAAAGAATAAACAATGAACAACTACAAGGCCAAGAGCTATTTTTGTTTTATTTTTTTAGATATGAGATTGTTACAAAAATCAAGAAAATATGTACTTTATAAAATATATCATATTTAAAATTAGATTTAGTCTTTACGAATAAAATACCTATGTTACCTGATTCATAAAGTACTATAAAATAGCATTTTATATACATTTAAATTTTATTAAAGTATTTAAACTTCAGTATAGTATATCTATATAAAAGCCAAGAATGAGTATTTTGCTAATAATCATAATTTTAATTACTTCATTTTACACTTCTTTGTGTTACACAAATGAAGAAATGGTTCAGAAGATGAATAAAATTTTTACTCATAAAAATTGGATTGAGTTGACCAAAGATTTGGAATTTTATAATTATAAAGAAACTAACAATGTCTATGAGAAACTTGATAAAATTAACATTAATGATCATATTCGACCCAATGAAAATACAGTAACTATTTAAAATTTAACTGAAAAAATGAAGATTGGTTCAATAATATTGAGTTCAATTTACTACGCATTTGTTAGAGATTTCAATTTGTTAGCAAGGATTGATCTAATAAGTAAGATAAATATTCAAATAGAAAATCAGGAAATATTTTCGATAGCAAGTAACAGGAAATTTCATAGAGATTTCGAAATTAGCGTACCATTATTAACTTGTATGAAAGATGCACTAACATTTTTACACGACGAATCTCCTGTTTTTATTGTTCTACAAAAATTAATAAAGAGGTATTCAAATATAAAAATAAATGAAGATTTAAAACATGAAGATTTAAGAAACGAACTCTCTCAATTAAATATTTATGATGAAAAATTTATAAACTTTAATGAAGTTATTATGCCCATTAATAAAATAAATTTAAAAAAAATATATTTACCTTTAAGTCTTTGCCCCAATGTTTCAGAACGCGATATTCCATACGGTATAGAAACATTTTGTGAAAATTTTGGATTTTATGGAAAGAGATTTATGAAACAAACTAAAATTATACTCCAGTAAATTATGCACTTTTAATCATTTGTGTCAAACTGTTTAAATTACACCTAGACTTCATTAATTCAGAATACTAGATTATTTTAAAGTAGGTGATTAACTAACAACATTTGAAAATATTCAAATTTCATAATTAATAAATGTTAAAAAAATTTAATAATTTAATTAAAAAAGTCATAATATAACAATTTCTATTTTAGTGTCAAATTATTTTTGTAATAGATATGTATTCATTTTTAAATTGTTTTTTTTTAAATTAAACTTATCACAACTTTGACATAAAATTTGTATTTTTTTACAAAACCTTATCATATAACACTATTTAAAGTAATCTAATATTGGTAATTCTATTAGTCTTTATGGTGACTGACTATGTATATATATCATATTACATTTTGGATAGTTAAGACAACTATTTCAGTTTAGTATTAAATAATATTTTTTCTTTCATAAAAGCTGTGGCTGAATTTTATTTGTAAATATTGAAAATATTCTCTATTTTATTAAAAATATTATTGTTATTATACGCCCTTATTCTGATTTTTAATGAGTAGGTATATTTTAAAAATTGATGGCTTTAATCATTGTATATCATTGTCTCGGGACTAGTTTTCATACACTCTCAAAACATGTTGCGCCATTTTTGTAAACTGCGCATTAAAAACAATAATAAAAGATGTTAGTTTAGCTATAACAATACTACATATTGAGAGTTAAAAAAAAAAATATTTTTATGAAAGATCTACACGAATAATTATAAGAGATTCCATGCGTTAACATTATGTTATTATAGTATAACTAATACATCACACATTATGTATTTATTAAAAAAATTTGTTGTGTGTCTATTGCCACTTGGATTGATTAAACTCAACAATACGTCAATATATCACTATTTGTATTTGTATAAATTATATAAATATAATGTTTGAAAAAATGATCTCGTTCCCCGTAAATTAACAGTATCCAAACATTTATTATTTTAGAGATCGCGAAAATTCTTTTTCATTTAACTTTTTATTTAAAATTAATATTTAAAATTTTATTGAAAATAAAAATATCATAGCAAACATTTATTGAGAGAACTTACATATGTCCATTTTAATTAATTTCAATTAATCAATTAGGCAACTGGTGAAAAACATGTTTTAACTAGTATTAATACAACCGGTCGGACGTGAAGAGGAAGCACTGCGATCACTATCTAGTGATAAAACCGGAGTGCAATATGACTGTGACCTGATCACCCTCTCAGTCTGATCTACATGAACAGCTGATCTATTTGTAAGTTAACCCTGTTCTGCCCTTCCCTTGTTCTGACACTTCCTGCCGGCGTGGCTTCGGACTGTGCTTGTTATTGTTTCTTGCGCTAGTAGCGCCGTACGATTTGTGCGTGGGCGGAAGCGATCGTTCCCGTCACCCATATTGTGGCGATTATTTAACCGCTTTGTATCTACAGGTTGTTGAGACGGTTTTCTCGGCTTGGTCGGCGTGCTCATACGTAATATTGCTTGACTATTCTGAGTCCCTGACCGGTGTCGGCTTATATCGACCACCCTTTCATAAGTGGCCTAGATAAACGGATTGGCCCTGATCACCCGAAGTTCTGTTCAGCTGGTTCTCTCGACGGTTCACAATGCCAAGTTACGTAGTCACCCTCACCTAATCTTTTGCCAATTGCAATTTAGCAGATTGCAAAATACAATTAATTACTCTATACATGACAATAAAGGCTTACAGTAAACATTATTCCAACTAACTACTACTGCACATAAAAGAGGTTTATCACAGTACTCCCAAGGTACTCCCCCCAAAAATTATATAATAAATTTTCACCGAAATTGTGATGACTAATAAGCATCTCCAAAATGGCAATGCAGACAAATCAGAAAAATGTATATTATATTAATTGAATTGTGGATAAATAATATACAATTATTTAATATAAATTAAATATTTTTTTCACCAGACTAGATGCGATTTTTTTACAATAATCAACATGTTAACATATGAATTTTATAAAAAATTATCGTAATATTTTAAAATAAAACTTATTCTATACAAATAAAATACATATGTGGCCTGATTCATAAAGTAATAAAAAATAAATTTATATTTATATATAAATTAAAATGTTAATACAGTATAAAAAATTTAGTATAGTAAATTTATATATATATAGTAATTATGGATATTTTAATGATGCTTGTAACTTTAATTACTTCACATAACGTCAACTCTTGTACATTTTTTTGTAGCACAGAAAAAGAGATTCAGAAATTGAATGAAATTTTTAGTCACACAAATTGAATTGAATTAACAAAAGACTACTGTTATTGTGATATGAACAGGAAACAGTTAATAAACATCATTTTCAACCTGATGATGGCGATACAGAGATAGTAATCTGTAAAAATTTTAATAAAAAATTAGGACGGTTCAATGATATTGAGTTTATTCTACTACAACTAATAGTAAAATTTCATAATCTTCAATGTTCCATTAAAGCATTTTATGATATGAATTTTAATAAACTAAAATATAATGATATTATACATAAATATAAAGTTATTGATATTGACTTCACAATAATTGAAAAATTTAATTTACTTAATAGATCTATTATTACTTTCTATCCATTACTAACTTGTATGAGTAACGCTCTACAATTTTTCAATCATTCAACTCCTGTTTTAAAGCTCTAAATAATTTAAAAGAGTGGCAATCAAAAATTAAAAATATTAAAATAAATGATAACATTAAGACTGCTGAAATTGTAAGAAAGGAACTTTTTGACTTAAATATTTTTGACTAAAATTTTGAACATTTTGAAAACAATTTCAAGAATGTAAATAATAAAAAATTATATGATATATTAAACAAGTATTTCAACTTTCGCTAC